GCGGAGAGGTTTTGCCGCGGCAGCGGCGGACGCGCCGAAGCGCGCGCGCGCCGACGCGGCTGCAGCCAGTCACAGCCGGGCGACGCCAGAGGGAGCGCGCCGCGGGACGCAGAGGCGCACGTTGCCCAGGTCGCTGCCGCGAGAGCGAACGCAGCGAGCGCCAGGCAGCTGAGGCGCGCGCAGCTGCAAGTTCCCACTAAAACCAAACCGTACAGCTGGTGGGACCCGACGTACTGGTCTATTGCGAGGCCCACCGATTTCTGCCACGGCGACTGCGCGTGGGGCCTCGAAGACCGGCCCCACCAGTTGTCCATTACCGGATGGATCACCGCGCTGTCGCGGGAGGAGCTCGGGTGCACTCTGACTGGCGAGGAGCAGCCGAACGAGGCGGCCAATGACAAGCGCTTCCGACACTCATGGCAGACGCGGCATATGGTGCGTTCGCTCGGGCGGGTGAGTGAGACCATAAAAAGCGTGCACGCGGGCATGAAGGCGCCTGGATCGCATGCGCTTGCAAGGCAAATCCAGAACCTCACCCCAGAAGATATCCAGAACGTAATTCTCAAAATGAACGAGGCGGGCAAGAGGGTTACGCTGAAGGGCTCGATGAGCGACAAGGACGTCCCCAAGATGCTGCTGACCGCGCTGGCCTCCATGCAACGCTGCACCTCCGGCATCCTCGGATCCAACGGCCACCGCAAGCCAGTCGACAACGAGGGCATTGCATGCACGCTGCGCTTCGGCCCGCTGCTGGTGTTTCTGACCCACAACCTGGCCGACACGCAGCAGCCGTTGCTGCTGGCGGCGCAGGGGGGGGAGTTTCACTTCGGGGAGCACGATGCGGATCCAAGCCCCCGTCGGACAGACGCTGGTGTTCGAACTGGTGATACGTCTCGTCTTCGTCCACGTTCTGGGAATCCGCCCCGGCGTGGTGGGCTGGCGTCGCCGCGCGGCGCGCAAGAGCTCGGGGCCGCGCTGCTTCGACAGCTGCGCGGCAGAAGGACGACATCGCGGGGCCCGTGGCTGCAGCCTTCGGCGCCATCTAGCTCGTGCTCATCATGCAAGAGTTGCTGATTACTCCGATGAGAAACAGAGCAACCTTCAAGCAGCGCGGAGGCGACAGCTCGCTCGCGCGGCGGCGTCCGCGCAGGAATCGGCGGGCTCTGAGTTCCCGGGCTTCTTGCGAGGCGGCATTGCAAGCCCGATGCCGCCCGAGGTGGAGGTCGGCGAACTCCCTGTGGGCCCGAGAGAGCGAGGGCAATTTGGCGCCACGGGGGGGGCGGGAGACCGCCCCAGCGGATCGCCTGAACACGGGCGAGAGCAGGGGCGAGCAGCCTCTGCGCAGCTGCTGCCCAGACAAGGAGGAAAAACATCAGTGGCAGGAAGCGGCGCGGCCGAAGCTGGACCTTCGCGACGACGTCGGCAAGGTCGTGGACAAGGACACCCTGTCGGCGTAGCAGGCGGAGAAGAAAAAGAGATTGTGGTCTACACCGCAGAGCGGTTTTGCCTCCGGGAAGCTGCCGCCCTTTCGCCTCGGGCGCAGCGCGCAGAGCACCATGCACGAGCTCCGACAGGCCATGCCGTCCGACGACTTCATCGGGAAGCTGGCCAGAGACGCCGAGGACCTCGCGGATCGGCAGCGCCGCGCACGTCTGCAGCCCGTCGCGCTGCAAGCACCACTCGAAGGGCCCCTCTCTGCCGCCGCAGCTACTCCCACTCGGTGAACCTGCGTGGCCCGGGGCCCGACCAGGAGGTGCGCGTCCGGCGGCGCGGCAAGGCTCTGCGCGGACGCATCGGCATCTTCCGCGAGGCGAGGCACCGCATGGCTGGAAGGATCACCACCCTCCAGAAGCACCCGGGCGAGTGCGCCACGAACCACGCGGACCTGGTTGCCATCCGCTCGAACTGGCCTCCCCGCGCCGAGTCCGTGACCTCAGCATCGGTGAGCAGGAGGGCGGGGGCTGGATACAACACCTGGGGAACACAGAGCATCGTCGGCATGCCCTCGTGGCGTTCACCGACTGGCAGGAAACATAGGAAAACCTGGGGGAATTGCCGCCAGACTGGACTGGCTGCCAGTCGGGCCCAGATCAATCTCAGGACAGACAGGAGGGCGCCACGCCCGCGGCCCAGGGCGCTGATGGAGGCGACGTTGAGTGCGAGGACGCAGGCCAGGGCGACAAGCTCTACGAGGCCAGGAAAAAGTGCGCCGCGACAAACAATTTTCGCGGATGCACACAATGCAAGGCTTTAGATCATCTCGAACACGACGAAGGTGAATCCGACGATGGACGACGTGCTCGATTGCTCGCCGGCACGCGTCGCTTGACCGGCGACTGGCGCGAGGCCGACGCGGCGCCGCCCGCGGAAAGCGAGAATGCCGCTGCCACGCGCAGACAGCGGGAGTGGATGCGCACCGCCCATCTCCTCTCGCGCATGGAGCCGCGCCTCCGCCGAACCTCCTGGAAGAGCGGGGCCGAGAGGACGTTCCCCATGCTCTTCGAGCACGCGGCGTTCGTCGCGCGCCGCTGCTGGAACATGTCCACGCGCGAAGCCATCTGGCTGGCGGGCTCGGACTGGCGAGCTCTCTACGGACGTTGGAGACGCGGGAGAAAGAGATGGCGATCGCTGCCAGCCCACCTACGCCTGTTCGGATGGGACCGAGGTCACTCGGCCACAAGGTTGGCAGCGCGCGGCGCTGGGCGGCTGGCACTTGCGCGCCAGCCCCGACGGCGGAGAGCACGATTCTCTGGATTTTCTCGAAAATACGCTCAATTCGCAAGTGCGCTCATCACTCCCGGCACACTCTTGCATTGCCGATTGCGCAAGAAAGACACCGCCCCTCTTGAAAATAGCTACGACATCTCGGTTTAACCGGCACCCCACCGCTTACGACACTTTGACAACGGCCAGAACTCGATTGACTGACCGCGCGGTCTATTTCGACCAAAAGCTCAAAACAATGAACAAACCGAACAGTTAAGATCAACCAAACGTAGATGAAGAAACAGATTTATTCTGAAATCGTGAAAATACCTTTGCGATGCAGGCGCCATTTGTTCAAGAGCAATCACAAACGTGGTCTGGAAACTAACATTTCGCGTTCAGATCCGCTTTGCTTTAGTTTCACCGCCCGCGAACATTAATGGTTTCAAACGCGCTCCCTTCGCGCAACCGCCGTCGTCGTGTAACCGCCGCGCAAAATTTGACAGCGCTGGGCTGCCCTGAAGGGTTAAGCGGTGCCCGCCAGCAAAAATCGACAACGAAATCTTGGATCCGACGGTCACCCCAATCCAGCAGCGCCTGCCAGGACTGATGTGCACTCGGGGCAGGCAAGCACCAACCCCGGCGCGGCCATCCGAGCGGTCGACAAATTGACCACAGAAGTTGAACGAGGGCGCCGTCGAGGACGACTTCGCAGTCGCCGATCCTGCAGGCGGCAATGGTGCCCCCAGCGCGGATGCCGCTCGGAACAAGCCCACCACTTTTGTCATGGGCCAGCTGGGCGACTGGCTCCGTCGCGACACGGGCCCCATCGTGCGCGACGTGAACCTGTGCGCGTACAGCATGTGGGTGCACCGCGTCGAGAGGAACCTCACCGCGCGGGAGAAATCTTCTGGCCGCCCGCCTTCGACGCGGCGCGCGGGCGCGGAGTTCGACGAGAGTTGCCCGTTTCGGGGCACTGTCGAGCAGCGACTTGCGTTGGAGCCGCGCGCCACGGCGCCCGAGGGCACGCAGTCCAGCTCCAGGGCGGATGCGGAGGCGCACTGCGCGACGAAGGCCATTCTCTTCCGCCCCGCGCAACCCGGGTCACGATCGGCCAGACTTGGCCGGGGCAGCGCGCCCGCGGCAGGCCCGCTCGGCGTCGCGCGCGGCGCCGCCCAGGGAGGGTCGGTGGCTCGCGCGGAACCTCGGGCCGGATAGCTCAGGGCCGCTCCAGCGCGACTGGGCGGCCTTCCACGCAGAGCAGGAGAAAGAAGCGTTCGAGGCACGGCGCAAGAACCGCCTTGCGGCCGAAGTGCCCGACCTCTGGCAGGAGGTGCGCGGGCGACTGTTCCAGATCGATACCGCGGGAAGGAGCCGCGAGGAGACTGACGATGCGCTTCCGTCGAGGGAGATAGCGTTGCGGCCCCCTGTGCGAGAATACATCGCGGTCGCCACGTCGGAGACTTCCTTAAATTTTTCCTTAAATGTCGGACGCGTTGCCCGGGCGCGCACGTAGCCGAGGCAGAAGAGAGAGAGAGAGAGAGAGAGAGAGAGAGAGAGAGAGAGAGAGAAAAAAAAAAAAAAAAGAAAGAGAGAGAGAGAGAGAGAGAGAGAGAGAGAGAGAGAGAGAGAGAGAGAGGAGAGAGAGAGAGAGAGAGAGAGAGAGAGAGAGAAAGAGAGAGAGAGAGAGAGAGAGAGAGAGAAAAAAAAAAAGAAAGAAAGTAAGAAAGAAAGAAAGAGAGAGAAAGAGAGAGAGAAAGAAAGAGAAAGAGAGAGAAAGAGAGAGAAAGAGGAAAGAGAGTGAAAGAGGAAAGAGAGAGAGAGAGAGAGACATATATATATATATAGAGAGAGAGAGAGAGAGAGAGAGAGAGAGAGAGAGAGAGAGAGAGAGAGAGAGAGAGGCGGACGATGCCGCGGCTGCGCCCGCGACGGCGAGGGGGGCGGCCAGCGCCCGGGTTCCGAACCGCAGGCGTGCTTCGCGC